AAGAAAGAAAGAAAGAAAGAAAGAAAGAAAGAAAGAAAGAAAAAAAGAAAATGAAGAAGCCTTTATTGAAAAAGAAGAAAGAAAGAAAGAATCAAAGAATCAAAGAAAAGAAAAAAACGAAATGAGGGAAGAAGCCTTTATTGAAAAAAGAAAAAAAAAAGAAAAAAGAAAGAAAGAAAGAAAAAGAAAAGGGAAATTGAAAAAAAAAAAAAAAGAAAGAAAGAAAGAAAGAAAGAAAGAAAGAATGAAAGAACGAAAATGAAGGAAGAAACCTTTATTGAAAAAAAGAAAGAAAGAAAGAAAGAAAGAAAAGAAAAAACGAAAAAGAAAAAAAAGAAAATATAAAATAAACTTTATTGAAAAGAAAGAAAGATAAATGAAAAAAGAAGGAAAGAAAGAAAAATCGAAATGTAGGAAGAAGAAATAAAATTTAAAAAATTGAAAAAGAAAGAAAGAAAGAAAGAAAGAAAGAAAGAAAAACGAAATGAAGGAAGAAGCCTTTATTGAAAAGAAAGGAAGAAAGAATGAAAGAAAGAAAGAAAGAAAGAAAGAATCAAAGAAAGAAAGAAAAACGAAATGAGGGATGAAGTCTTTATTGAAAAGAAAGAAAGAATGAAAGAAAGAAAGAAAGAAAGAAATGAATAGCAAAAAAAGAAAGAGCGTTAACGCTCTCATATTTTCTCTGCTTCAGAGAAATGGGAAAACTTGACAAGTTCAAATCTTTTCATTTGTACCCTCTTACTTCTTTAAATAATGACTTCATACTTATCATTGATATTGCAATATTTTGTTAAAGTTGTAAACGATGCCATAAGGAAATTTCCACTGTTATTTTGTACTCGAGGAGTTCGCAATTAAACTGATATGTTCATTAAATATGATACGCCAGAAAATTCAGAAAGGAAATCCCTGAAAAATTTTAAATAATTTTAGAAAAACATACGTTTTTAAAAGAAAAAAAAAAAGAAAAACAAATCATCAATATGCGAGGGGTTAGTGAAAGGTTTTCAGTTCAACCTATTTCCGTCACCAGTTCGTATAGGGTTGCCCCAGTTTCATCATCAAAATGTTTGAAATTTTTTGGCCCGTCACAAGTACACAAACTTTGTATAAACAAATATCTGCTTTCATGAAAGGTTGTTTTTTTTTTGTTTGGTATTAAAACTTTTCTTTTCTGTCTCTATCCGTGTCACATGAGCAGAGGGGCGATTTCTCATTAAGCACATTTTTTTTTATTTACTAGTTCAATACCAGTCACTCGCTGATACCATAAGAACATTAATCTAAATTGTTTGTTTATTTAAAATACGAGGTTTGTTTTGTTTAATAATTGCGATCATTCCAAAGCAAGACATATAACCTTTCGGCATATAATCTTTTCCAAGGTTTGTTGCCAGAGAGAAAAGGAAAATAGTTTTATTTTCACAAATCTTCATTTTAATTTCCTTCAGATTTTTCTGTGTCTACATTTGGACCTGGACATGAATATTTTAATCAAATAACTGACTGCTATGGCGGAGCCAACTAAGGGAGATAACCGTACAAAGGAGTAAAACAATGGCGGACACATGAACACACGTGAAAATCACGGCTCTATTCAATCTTCTCCTTCCGCTGGTTACATGTCGGTATTGTCAAAAATAAGGGTTTAAAAAATAACCATGTCTGATCTACAACTTGATTATTTCGTTATAACACTGACCTAAAATTATTTTTCTATAACAAATAACTATTTTTAAAATATTAAAAAAATAAGCACAATTATATTTATAACGGAATAATTTACGAAAAGTTCAATAAAATTTTATAATTGTTTGATTTTTACAGTTTAAAAAATTAACATTTTTTTTTTTTTTTTTGTTTTCGAATCTATAAATTTATTGCTCATCTAGGGATATGTGTTGTCCAGACTGTGTGGGAAGGAAATGTATTATTCCAATGTCTTATTTCAAACTGAAATTGTGTGTGCATGTATGTGCATATGTGTATATTAGATGACACAAGCATATGTAAATCACTCACTCAAAACAAAGACATACGGAAATAAATTATATACACGCGTGCAAAGTCACAAGCAGACTGACAGAGTATCGAGTATTTTTTTTATAAATTCACGATTTTAATCATCGTCATCAAAACTGTATCGATTTGAAGTCATGACTTAACATGTTCTCTTATCTTCAGTGACATTGTCTACTGATTCGACAATATTTTGCCAGCCTTCTCTGTCCTGTACAAATTTGAAGATCTTCCTTGATTGTAAATTTCTCCAAAGGAAAAGTGGGATCTTTCTACCTTGTTCTTTGAATGTCTTGGTTCAGGTTTGATACTATGGTGGTTCTTGGATGACCTCTGAACTTTTTAAAGTCAGTCTTTTCAAAGTAAAACTCCATGGCTTTGTTAGCTTGCCATTCTGAATCCATTCCGTGTATTGACATTCGAATTTTTTTCTTGAACAGTGTAACCCGGATATAAGAGATCCGGATATAAGAGAAACCCGGATATAAGAGAAATTTTCTCTGGTCCCAAATTAGAGCCCATACTTACCTAAACAAAATAGACCAAACCCGGATATAAGAGAAACCCGGATATAAGAGAAACCCGGATATAAGAGACTTCTTCTCCGGTCCCTACAACTCTCTTATATCCGGGTTACACAGTATTACAAACACACGGTTTGATATTTTCCAACATCGGGGTACATTATTCCTCCATTTACTCTTGACAATAAAATCCTTTTTTTATTAATGTTTGAATTCTGTCTCTAAACATATCAGCTGGTGTTTGTTTTTGCCGATGTTAAAATTCAGACAAGGTCCAATTTTTCATTTTCCTAATATTGTCTTTCTCAGTATGCAACGTCTTAAATAAGTTGTTACTGCGTAGCAGAAACTGGAGCAGCCATTATCTACCCTGTCAATATCACGATTTCCTCTTCTCTAATTTGAAATGAAAAGCTTGTGATTTGTTTTCATTTGTTTTGTCGTTCACTCAGCATCTGAATATTTTTATACTAATGAACACCCAATACAAGGCCAGAGAACCACTCAAGGCAGAGGATTTTGTGTGGTGTTGTATAAGTGTAACAAAAGGTAGGTGAAGTTCATGGAGTTATTCAGGAAAGATAACGTTTGACTCTAACGTTGCAGCCGGGTTCGTCCCTAGAGTGGAACTCCTCTAGACAAAAGCTTAGGGATTACAAAACAACTCTTTGGCCGAGTCGTTATCCCAACAACTCTTTGGCTGGGTCGTTACCCCAGCAACTCTTTGGCAGGGAGGTTACTCAAACAACTCTTTGCCCTGGTCCTTACCCCAACAACTCTTTGGCCGGGTCGTTACCCCGGCAACTCTTTGGCAGGGAGGTTACTCAAACAACTCTTTGGCCAGGTCCTTCCCCAACAATTCTTTTGGAGGGTCGTTACGCTAACAACCCTTTGGCCGGGTCGCTACAAGATTGTAGCAGTCAGCAAATTCTATTCGGTTGTGGCCTTCTTTTGTAGATAAGAGAGTTAGTGGTAGAGCTGAGGTGAGGGACGAAAAGGTCTTAATGGCGTGTTAGAATGCAACTTCCTTCTTTTTCACTTGGTAGTGATTAAGAAAAAAATCCTCCCGTGAGTCTGTTCCACAAAGCAGCAGTTCTTGGGAAGATGTTGTCTGAATGGAACGTATTTCTTACTATTGGAATACGAAAGGAAAAGATAACAGTTGGCTCTAGAATTGAAGAGGTCAAGGTTGTAATGGTTGGAAAAGCCTCCTGCCGGGAATCTATTCTACAAAGCAGCTGTTCTTGGGAAGTAGCTGTCCAGATGGAACTTCCTCCTTACTTACAGAATATGAACGAAACGGGGAGGATTTGTGTATACTGCACGTTGGCTCCCAGCAACAAAGGTTGGTGGGGGTAGTGAAACTAAAGAATATATTTCGTCAGAACGCGTGCTGGGGAAATAACGATTGAGTTGCGCCGTTTCGTCTACAGAAGAGTAACACTCTGCTAGCCATGATGGATTCCATTACGTTATGTAATTAACCCAAAAAAAAACAAACAGAGAAAAGAAGAAACAGGCGCCATGCGCTTTCGTCTTTCAGTTGTCATTAAAGCCTAAATTTCCATCTGGTGCCAGCGACACGAAGGGCGGCAGTGATGGTGGCGGCAAAAAGGTTGTAATACCAAAAGATAGATAAGCAACTTCTGTCAGAAAGAGATTGAGTGCGGGGTATGAAGTGGTGGCCAAACATTACGGGAAAATACACAGTGGCGGGCGAGAAGGGGATTTCGATAGTAGGCATTTTGTTTTTTGTACAACGATGACAGATTCCAAGCATAACGTTGCTGCTAAAGTCCGATCCACCCACGCTGCATTTATTTGGGTATTAGTTCACCCATTATCTGATTGAATGCATATATGTGGGTGCGGGTTTATGTGTGTGTGTGTGTGTGTGTGCGAGAGAGAGAGAGAGAGAAAAGAGAAAGATACTGATCGATATGATCAGACTGAGATAGATAGATAGATAGATATTAACAGGCTGTTGTAGATAGATAGATAGATAGATAGATAGATAGATAGATAGATAGATATGAACAGAATAAGATAGATAGATAAATATGAACAATAAGATAGATAGATAGATAGATAGATATGAACAGAATAAGATAGATAGATAGATAGATAGATAGATAGATAGATAGATAGATAACCGAGTGAATTAGATAGATAGATAGATAGATAGATAGATAGATAGATAGATAGATAACAGAGGGAATTAGATAGATAGATAGATAGATAGATAGATAGATAGATAGATAGATAGATAACAGAGGGAATTAGATAGATAGATAGATAGATAGATAGATAGATAGATAGATAGATAGATAGATAGATAGATAGATTAGATAGATAGATAGATAGATAGATAGATAGATAGATAGATAATGAACAGACTGAGATAGATACTCGGCGCGAAGACAACTCAACGACAAGCAAGCAATGGAATTTAGCTAGCTAGCTTGATAGATAGATAGATAGATAGATAGATAGATAGATAGATAGATAGATAGATAGATAACAGAATGAAGTAGATAGATAGATAGATAGATAGATAGATAGATAGATAGATAGATAGATAGATAGAATGAAGCAGAATAGATAGATAGATAGATAGATAGATAGATAGATAGATAGATAGATAGATAGATAGGGATTACAAGTGCACATACATATTAACTGCTTTGATATAAGACAATTGTGTTGCGCCAATTTTACAACTTGAACGTTTGCTTGTTCACCTAGTGAAATTGACATAAAATTCGACAGATAGATAGATAGATAGATAGATAGATAGATAGATAGATAGATAGATAGATAATGAACAGACTGAGATAGATACACGGCGCGAAGACAACTCAACGACAAGCAACCAATGGAATTTAGCTAGCTAGCTAGCTATATATATATATATATATATATATATATATATATATAGAGAGAGAGAGAGAGAGAGAGATAGATAGATAGATAGATAGATAGATAGATAGATAGATAGATAGACTAAGTGTGCAAGCTACCAGAAAATAAGAAGATTGTGTGTCGCCAATTATACAACTTCAGATATTTGCTTGCTTACCTTGAAAAATCGACTTAAAAATTCGGGACATAGATAGATAGATAGATAGATAGATAGATAGATAGATTCATATAGAGAGATGTGGGGAGATATACATTCTAAGTTCACAAACTGACAGGAAATAAGAAGATTGCCTAGCGCCAGTTTTAGAGCTAGAGAGATATGATTCCTTGCCATGAAAAATCGGCATAAAACTTCGAGCATTTCTTTGAATCCGGACATTAATAACAGGGGACAGTTAGAATTCTAAAACTATTTTAGCCTCGAAGTAGATCCTTAATGAGCTCGAAATATTCATCGAGGCTTCCTTATTGTCTGCGAGCCGCCATTTACCATCAGGGCCTAAAATTGTCAACTGCGAGAACGTAAGAAAAACGTGTTAACAATTATCTCCTGTGCTTTTTTGAAAAAGAAAATTCAGTTCTTAAAATCGTAACCGTTAATTGGAATCGAACACCGATCTATGGTTTTGAAAACAGCTCGCTTCTCTTTCGCTCATATTAGCCTCCTCTTAATACATTTTTTTTTTCGTGAATGCTTTTGCCCTCTGAGTAAGTTAATCTCACGCTTCTCGCCATTAAGACCAGAACTTTACACTGCGTGCCAAATTATTATCGAGATAACTTTTTTCTAATATTTCATAAACTATCCAATCAATTCACACAAACTTTTCACTCAATGTTGGCAACACTAACCTACGCAATCACTGAAATTTTCGTACTGGTCTGCGCAATGTAAACAAACTGGCGCCATATTTGTTATCAGCACGATGATTTGAGCGTGCCAAATTATTATAAAACTGTAAGAATTTAGTGAATAGATGGGCCGTAAAAGCAGTTTTAAGTGATGCTGAAAAGAAAACTATCACCTCAGAACTCTAAAAAAGTAAATCTACCCTAGAAATTTCTAAAATGATAGGGTAGTGAAAAAGTTCACCGCCGACCCTACACAAGTACGCAAAAGGGCAGTTAAAGGCAAGCCGTAGGTTATTTCACGTCGTCTCACTTAAATGAGAGGCCACGAAGAACCCTGGACTTACCAGTCGAGCTTTTCAGTCGCATTGGGGATCCTACTGTGTCTAAAAGTACTCGGTGTCGGTATCTGAGGGAAATAGCAACAACAGTCAAACCTGTATCGAAGTCTCCGTTGACGAGAAATCACATTCAAAATCGATTGAAATGGGCCGAGGACAATATGAAGATTGACATCTCTAAAGTTTTGTTCACAGACGAAACTCGAGCAACACTTGATGGGTCAGATAGATGGTGCAAAGGCTCGATAATGAACGGACAGAATCGCCATCAGCGTTTTGATCTGGGGTGGTATTATTGGAAAAACATTAGTGGGCCCATGGAGAGTACCAGATGGCGTCAAAATGACTGCTGATGCATACATAGCGTTTATGAAGGAGCATCTTGGACCGTGGATGAAAAGGCAAAGAGTTGCCTTCAGAAGAGCCATTGTTTTTATGCAAGCTAATGCTCCCTCACATGCTGCTCACAAGACTACTGAATATGTGAAACAGTTAGGCTTCGATGGACCTCGAAAAATGAAGTGGCCAGCAAATTCTCCGGATTTGAACCCAATGGAAAACCTTTGGAGCATCATGAAGCGAAGACTGTACGCCAACGGACGATAATTCAGGAGCAACGCTGAGTTGTGGGAAGCAATTCTTGATATATCTCGCGGCATTACAGCAGATGACATCCTACAATTAACAAATTCTATGGATCGTCGACTTCTTCAAGTAATTTCAAAACAGGGAAAGAACATTCCCTATTAATTTGTTTAAAACTGTGCCTTTGTTTGTAGCTGTTATTATTTGTTTGATTATCTTATTTATTAGCTTCTTTTGATCATAAACATTCCCGTGCAACATAAATAAACGTTTTGTTTGGTCATTTCCGGGAATTTTACTAAACCTTTCTAATAATTTGGCACGGTCAAATCACCGTGCTGATAACAAATATGGCGCAAGTTTGTTTACATTGCGCAGATCAGTACGAAAATTTCAGTGATTGCGCAGGTCAGTGTTACCAACATTGAGTGAAAATTTTGTGTGAATTGATTGGACGGTTTTTTAAATATTAGAAAAAAGTTATCTCGATAATAATTTGGCACGCAGTGTATATTATATCAGCGATCAACGCAATGAGACATAAAAGCTAAAAAGGAAAAAAAATAACAGATATCTACGGCGTTGATCAAAAAGTATCGGGATTGTTGCTATGGTAACGAGGTTAAATTACTCAGGGTTAAGCCCCTTGGCACAGAGTGACCTTGATCTCTGCCCCGCAGGTACACTAAGTTATAACGTTCTCACTTACTTTCGTTGTTTACAGCCTGCTTGGAGGGAGAGTGTGTAGAGTGTGGTCGTCTCAATACACCACAGAGGTTGTATCGGTGACCATGGTTTGTGCAGCAGGTTTAGCTGAAGGGCAACATTCCTCGGAACCGACAAGCACTATATTCCCCAGATATCGCCCCCTTCAATTTCTTTTCTCTTTAAAACCCAAATCGGGCTTGGAAGGAATGAGATCCAAGAGAATGCGACAAGGCAGCTGTTCGCTGTACCAAAAAAGGAGATCTAGGAACGGGACCATCAATGGAAACAATACTGGATAAATTGTGAGGCTTCGGGAAGGAACTACAGCGAAGGAGATCATATATATATATATATATATATATATATATATATATATATATATATATATAAAAAGGCAGGATGTGTGTGTGCGTGTAACGAATGCACGGCCGCAATTTTCGACGGATTTGCACCAAAATTTACATGCACATGCTCCAAGTTAGCGGAAAGGCCAAAACCGAATTGCATTTCCCAACTCCCATCGATAGTGGAAATAATCGATTTTTTCATGTTTCTACGGCGGTTTTCATGTAGTTTGCGGCCATTTTGTACTGGCCAGAGTGAGAGCCTATAGCTGGCTGCCACGAATAGGCAGGAAGATTCTAGTGGCCAGCGTGAGAGCCAACAGCTGACTGACACGAATGTTAACTAGCATGCTAGCATACAAAAAAAAATCGATAGCTGCATTCATCAGAAGTGGGAAAAATCTAAATCTGCATGGCACTTTACTCCAATTGGCTCATTCGCTTGCTTAAACTCAACATTGATTCTGATTCCGCAGAACTGGGTTGGGTGTGAAAAAGTATTTGTTGTTAACATTCTTTTTCATTCGGTTTTTCCAGTACGACTCCTTTTTTTAAAGCTGATCGTTTTGTGTTCATTTTGTTTAGTTCTTTTTTCGTAACAGATTTAATGTTTAGTATAGAGCTTAGACATAATTCGCAGTGTGAGATAGGCAAGAAGTAAGGCATGTAGCAACATCAGCACGGCAAAGGGCACTCCTTTAAAGGCAAGGAAGGGCAAAAATATTTTAAGTCAAGTGATAGCGATTGCTGTATAAGTCGTACGATTTTTGAATCAAGCACGGACAACGCCGGGCCATGCTGCTAATATATATATATATATATATATATATATATATATATATATGTGTGTGTGTGTGTGTGTGTGTGTGTGTGTATGTGTGTGGGTGGATATATTCGCCATAATCAGGGTAGATAAAGCCAATAGGTGAGTTTAGTAAATTTGGAAGTGGTGTAAGGTTATTTTATTTATTTTTTTTTTAATAAGCTGTTTGACATATTCTCTGATGATGATTTAAGAAAATTAAGAGCTTGTACCATATTTCTTGTACTTCTCTCCAAGATGAAATTTAGACAATTTCTAACGGAATTTCCAATTTCATTTTGACTAGTATTTCTTTCATCTTATTTCTCTTGCTTTTCCACCAAATAGTAATAGTCTTAAGTTGTCTGAATTTCTTAGATTTGGCAATTATTATTCATTTTTCAATAGTATTTCTTTCATCTTATTTCTCTTGCTTTTCCACCAAATAGTAATAGTCTTAAGTTGTCTGAATTTCTTAGATGAAGCCTTGGCAATTATTATTCATTTTTCAATAGTATTTCTTTCATCTTATTTCTCTTGCTTTTCCACCAAATAGTAATAGTCTTAAGTTGTCTGAATTTCTTAGATGAAGCCTTGGCAATTATTATTCATTTTTCAATAGTATTTCTTTCATCTTATTTCTCTTGCTTTTCCACCAAATAGTAATAGTCTTAAGTTGTCTGAATTTCTTAGATGAAGCCTTGGCAATTACTAACTATATTTTACTAGTATTTACTTCATTCCTTTTCACACAGAAATAATAGATGATGTTTTTATTTTATTTTCCGTGATATTTTCATCGCGTCCTTCAGGTCGTTTTAACACTGTACCTCCGATAAGCAGACGTGATTTTGAGATGACGCCATTTCAATTCTCACCATCCACTTATTCTTTATTTCTTCCTTTCTACTTTTTATGTTATGGTCGTAGAATGCAATAACGACCTGATCGTTGCGATAAAAGAAACAGTCAAATCAAGATGAAAGAAAAACCATTCCAAAAAAGCAGTGTTCGGTGAAATAAAGATCTTAAATAAGCTGATATCTGTTTGGCATTCTGCGAAAAACATGGCGCGAACATTTTACTTAATGGTTCATTTTTTTCCCAAGATAATGACGACGCCATTTTGAATTCTTTGTGGCCGACAAAACTACTAAATAAACATTTGTTCTATTCATTTGGAAAGAACCAAAATACGACACAGAATAAACAGCATTTGTGTTAATCACTAACCAGACGATAATAACCTTTTTCAACATATGGTGAGAGTCTTCTATGTGCCGTGTCCCTTGTAGACATTGGCGATCATGGCTCTCCACGATTTCCTGTTCTTTGTAGATCTTAATAAATTTTGTCCGTTTGCTATCTCTCCTAAAACCCCTTCAGTCATTCATTTACAAAACCCGCCTCTTAGGCCATGCTTTATTTTCCTCTCTCCCTCTTGTCTTTAAACTGTCTTTGTGTATCAAATTTTCCAAGTCCTCTTTCCTCATTATGTTTTCCAGATAAGTTTCATTTTTCTTTCCAATTTCTCTAACTCCTTTGTATGCCGTTTATCTTAAGGGTACAGAAGATCATGGCTCTCCACAATTTCCGGTCCTTTGTAGCTCTTAATAAATTATACCTTTTTGCTATCTCTCCTAAACCTTTCCATCTATTTATTCAAGCTTGCTAGGTCGC